TCTCTGGTCAAATTAAAATAAATAAATAAATAAAGTTAAATAAAATAATTAAAAAAAAGAAATTAAAATAATATTTTGATGCCTAAAAATCAATCTCTTCAAAATGAAAAGTAAATAAATAAATAGAAAGCTAGCATTGGCTTATTTTCTTTCTTTTAGCTAGATAGTTGAAAATAAAAATTAAGAAGAAAGAAAAGAAGACTGAAAGAAGAAAGGGAGAAGAGAGAAATGTTACTAAAGTATCATTGAGAAGAGCAGATTACACCGATTACACTGACTTTCTCAAAACTTTGCAATGAATGACACGTTTCTGAAATTGATATGACTTTTCATTTTCCTCCGAAGTCCTTCATTAAGGGTTATAGGGGACACAATTTGTTTTATGGCTTTTTCGTTGCTGTTGTTTTCTGCCTCCTTATCTTAAAATGCTCAGCAGTGCCAAATGTGCTGAAATTTCATTGAGCAGCATGTTGTAAAACAATACACTCCATGTTTATTCAGCGAGACTTTGCACTGGGGAACATTTAAGGCTGAAGTTTTCTAACTGAAGAATGAACAAAGACATGGCATTATCATTTATCTAACTTCATCACTTTCTAGCAAATGAAAACATGGCAGCTTTCAATGGCAGGGAATTCATTTTGAAGGGCAGTAGTTCAAGTGGTTAAAGAAATAGATCTTTCTTTGCTGCACTCAGCCCAATATTCATCATCTTAACCCTACTCCAATTTTTGCAGAAACGTAAAATGATTCCCAATATTTTTCCAACTCAAAATAATTTATATACGTATGTATCTATAAATTAATGTAATAATTTATATTTTATATATACTAAATTATATATTTGTATACACACACATGTATATTTTTAAAGAATCATGTCTTTTTTGGGACCAGCAGTTAGCATAATGGCTATGTCGCTCGACTCACACGTAGTCGACCACAGTTCGTGTCCCGGACCTGGTGGCTTAAAACTCACGCCGGGCGCATGTGTGCGTGTTCCCAAGATCCAGAAAGGAGAACAGAGGAGAAGGGATTGTGGCGTGACCATCCCCCCTGGGGGGGGGGATTTCTCGCTTTCTGTCTCTCTGTCTCTCTCTGTCTGTCTGGCGAGCGCATGCACCCTATAGCAAAAACCTCTCCAAAAACAAAAAAAGAATTATGTCTGGGACACGAACCGCGGTCGACTACGTGGGAGTCTAGTGACATAGCCATTACGCTAACTGCTGGTCCCAAGAATTATGCTTATATAAGGGCATAAGGCAATAGTTTTCAAATTTCTCAGTTTATAGGACCCTTAGCCTCTCAGTCACTTTTTCATGCTGCCTTTTAAAGGGAAAAAAATAAATTATTACACACACACACACACACACACACACACATATTATAAAGGAATTACATATATTCATATATCTATATATATTTCTTTAAGTATTGAAGTCTAAACAACTTAGTATTTATGTAATGAGTCCATAGCCATTTGAAAAAGTCATATACATAAATTTTTAAAAATACCATTTTTATTTAACCTTAAGTAAGCACAAATGTTTGGTAATGGAATGATGCTCCTGTTAGCCCCACGTTACCTGTGAACCTTGGAGTCTGCCATCCATGTTTCCTGTTCCACACAGGTTTTGCTCTTTATCATAGCAGCAGTCAACTGTCCCACTTGGAAATAAAATGGCATTTTAGAAAGAAAAGTTGTACAATCTAATTTTGAAACCAGGGCCTACTTTAAAACAACCATTTAAGAGTTCCTAACAGATGTCGAGGATCTGTTCTATTTCATTTCTCTTGTTTTCATTTTTGTTTTTCTCCAAAAATGTTCAAGCATCCTGTCCTAAACTATGAGTTAGCAATGAGCCCTAAGGACCTTGGAATATAGTTTGGGAGGCACAGGCTAAGGTAATTGAGCTTCATCCTGAAAACTATGCGCTGGGTCTAAGGGTCTCTAATTGGAGGGAAAAGGTATATACTATGATCAAGTGTGTGTGT